TTTTGGGGGAAATTGTCCGGGGGGGATTATCCTAGAACCACGTACTACTTATATATAGCGGATACTGGGAAACCGTTAAAATCATGTCACGGTAAAATCTGACAAAATGAATGTGTTTTGCCACAGTACCACAGTAGGGCAAATGGCGATTTCAAAGCATCTTTTTCGTGAATTTTATGAAATTTGATTTTAAATTTATACATACAATAAATGTTTGTATGTGTATAACGAATGTATTAATTATTTGCCGTCACACACGGTGACACACCTGTACATGTACGTTGTGTCCTCTGCTGTATTTCCGGTATATACCATAGTGCACGCGCGCACCGCGGCAGCTCTGTCCGCCTGTTTATGAAGGCATTTTTTTTATAAAAAGAAGTAACCGTGTTAATACTTAAAATTATTGTTTATTAAAAGCATTTTAATTATTATATATATATGCATTGTGGTTGGTCTGGTTCTTTTTTCCGCTCTTCATTTTCAAAAGAGTAGTTTTGTTGACGCTCTTGGTAAGTAAAGGGATTATTCTCGGCCATTAGCTTATTATTATCTATAAATCGTAGGCAATACCCCATGTAGAATTAAGGTATCTTTTTTAAATGTTGCCATCCTATTTTATTATAATGACTGCGTACTTCTGTTTTCATTGGCGCTGACTCGACAGGAAGTTGAGTTCTTGTAAGACTTAAATCTAATCTGTGAGTCGGAATTAGATTGATACTGCAGAAATGAACCAGCAAGCTGTGAATTAAACTCAGCGTTGATGGAATCTTCTTATGTTGCATTATCTGCTCTTCAACCTATGTATCATATGTTGTGAGGAATCCGGGGGGGGGGGGTAATAAAATATCGGTGCTTTTGNTCCATATAAATTGCAAAATTTGCTTGATATATGCTGTTTTTTTTATTATGTTTTAAATTGTTACAAAGGATAGCAGGTTTTTCTCAACCTTAAACCCAATTGATAAACCCTTATATGCACGGCCCATATGTCTTGCAGTTAAATATTTGCTTTTGTGTCAAACAGATATACACCAAAATCTTGCATTTCTTAATTTCAGGTTTTAATGTAAAAAGTTGGAAGAAGAACCAAATAGTTCACATAAGAATATATATTTTTCAATTGAAAGTGAAATTGTGCTCTACTAAAAATGCTCTTTTGAAAAAGCACAAAAGCCCTAATTTTAAAAAATATATGTCCGATGTCCAGCTTTTTTAGTTCGGCTTTTGACAGAAAATCTTTTACTTGGAGGGGCTTTAATGGAGAATATTTTCAATTTTTTAAAACTGTATCTCGTAACACTTCGCCTTTGAATTTAAGTAAACTACCAGTTCAGTAACTTGAGAATTTTATCTGTAATAAAGTAGACTTTCAGGAAAGAATCTGTCGTGTGAGCTTGAGAATAATAAACATATTTTTTCATGGAATAATCCTAAAGTAAATACAAACACACTGTACATAGAGGTACGTATTGTTTGCTTTGGGTTTATACCAAAAAGCAAGTAGAGCTATTTTGGCCTGAAAAGATATGTGATGTGATTCAAATAAAACAGTGAAGAGCCCAGGCATCCTTTATCGCGTAATAGATGATAAAATTAAAATATTTATCACCACCACGTAGGTAGGCCTATTTAGTGATTTTGTATCACCCATTTGTTGCAAAGAGCAAAGTACATATATGTGTAAATCTGACAGTTGCAATAGTAAAGTGGGTAAGTAAGACAGTCTTACTATAAAGATTGAGGGAGACTCGTTAAAATAATATACATTTTCATTTACATTATCATATACGGAGATAAATTAATACATTAGGAAAAACGTTGTGTTAATCACGGTTTGGTGAATAAAAAGTGGAAACAATGGGACTGCAATCCTGTTGGTGCATGTAGACATCTTAAGAGCGGGGGTGTAATGATCAAGGTGATCAAAGCAAGCACCCCAGCTTCATTAACTTAACACCTCATGTGGACCACCCACAGAATAATATCAGGTATGGCAGCGACGGCTTATCAATGGGCAAGTAGGCCCCATGTGTTTTTCTCAGTTAGCAATACAAAAAAGGATGACCGACTCGGGAGAAGCTACGTACTGTACCAAGAGATTCAGTTGGGATCGAATTCATCAACCGAATTCATTACCTATCAAGAATCATTTTTCATCTGGATTCCTCGTCACAAAGTTAACTACAGTAGATGGATCTTATTCAGGCAAGAATCCTAGGTAGTGATCTTTATTTATCTATCTTGTGCTTGCAGTCAGAGACGGCATCATGACATATTTGTTCTCAGGTACTTGACCTCGAATCCCAGAGTTTTGATAAAGTGGATTTTAAAAGACTTTTAAATTAAAAAAATTAAATTACAAAGAAAGTAACCCGGCTTTTAACACACTGCCTGGGCTTTGAGGGCAAGATCCTTTTAAATTTGTCAGGCCTGGCATCTGCAGTGATTAGTTACGCAAAAAGCAAATAGCCCTGTCCTTGTGGGTTGATACGATCTTAAATCTTTTTTTAAATACCTTTTTCTTAATCAATAAAAAGCAAATAGCCATGGCATCCGATTTGAACGATTATTTACATGAAGAAGTAATTTCTCCAAGTACCCCCTATGGTGCAAAGAGATAGCAGGTCATGGGCCCCTTAAATAAATGTAAATGTAGGCCCTAAGGGCACATGCAATTTACAAGCCTGGGGATTCATTTTGTGATCTGTACAGGAAGAATACAAACTGTAAAACATGTCCTGTGCGGCTGTCCGCTCACAGCAGGCTTGAGAGAGAATTTTATTTACTTGGATTTATTTCAGGTCAGTCCAGCACTTATGGCAAACAAATTAACTACAGTAGTAGGCCTAATATTTATCAATTGACAAGGATGAGTAGGCCTATTTCTTAACCCAATTTTTGTTCATTTTGTGATTTATTGTTTTTTACTACATGAAATGGGACAACGGAGCCACTTCTTGCACGCGTGTTCGTGGTTCACGGTTCGTGAGCGGCCACTATTGAAAACTAGAAAAGCACTCCGAGAGCCCAGACCTCCGCCAAGGGTGGAGGTAATTAGGCCTAGGTTCAAATTACGAGCAATACAGAAAATCAAAACGTCTTGCCAGTACCGGTGTCTCCCCGTTTCTGTTTTGACTGCTTGACTTGCTGGTATTGTGAAAAGGATAAATAATTCATTTCTGCTCAGAATAAATGAAATATTGTTTACTGATACCTAGTACCTAGGCCTACATGTGCTATGTATTCAGTAAAATTTTCAAGAAAAATTACCGATAAATGCCTCAAATAGATAAACCATATGGCATTTATTCTCCGGGAAGGGGATCGTTGTCGGGGGGGGGGGGGGGTGTTTTGGGGGAAA